CAGCAGAATGTCTCTGGGGTTTAACCAGTTCTCTAAGGGTTAAACAGTTCTTAAAGTCTTCTCTGCTGTGGAAACAACTGGCTGGCTCCTTGGTGCTCTTGCCGGGGTGGGGGAGGGGGGGGCCTCAATGGAGATGCAGATGACATCCCTCTTTCTGGTGGGTCAGTTAGGTTTATTTTTATTTATTTGTTTTATTTTTATCTTGAAATCTACTTGATTTCTTCTTTATTTGAGAGTTCTGTAACTACATTATTCCTTCATTTTACTTTATCTTTGTTGTTATTGTTGCAACTCTGGTTCTCTGTTTTCAGTCTTGTAGGTCTGTTTCACCTTGAATACTTCTGTATCTGGGTTGAGTTCTAGATGATATTTTCATGTATGTTAGTCTCAGGTTGTTTTCTTTTGTTGGTTCTCTAGTCAAAGAACTCCCTTTAATATTATTTTGTATGGTTGGTCTGGTTTTTACAAATTCTTTTTAATTTCTATTTATCTTAAAATGACCTAATTATGGCATTATATGTAATGGAAAATTTGCTGGGTATATGATTCTTGGTTGGAAATGTTTTTCTTTCAGAGTTTTATATATGTCATTCTTTTGTCTTCTTGCCTGCCTGATTTCTTCTGAGAAATCAGATTTTAACCTTACTAGTTCTCCTTTGTAGATAACTTTTCATTTTTCCTGAGCAACTGTTGGGATTCTTTCCTTGCCTTTGTTTTTTTTAAAGTTTTATTGTAACATGATTTGGTGATTTTCTTTTGGGTTCTATCCTGTTTGGAGTACCTTCAGCTTCTTGAATGGCTATCTTCTCTTCCAACAACTCTTGGACAATATTCTCTTTGTTTTTTGGGTTTTAGTTATTCCTGTTCTGGAATTCCAATCACACATAAATTATACCTTTTGATAGTTGTCTTATGCAAATATTAGATTTTCTTCATATTTTTTGCTCTCTTTTTTCTGATTGTTCCTCTTGTTGCTAAGTGCTATTGGTTTTGACTCATAGCAACCCAGTATAGAGTTTCTGAGGCTATAAACCTTTGCAGAATCAGAAAGCAGCATCTTTCTACTGTGAAGAGACTGGTGGACTTGATCCACCATCCTTGTGGTTTACACTCCAATCCTTATCCTACAGAACCACAGTAAACACTTTAACCTTAGTAATTTGGTCTTTCATTGATTCTGTTCTACTTCTTTGCCCTTTAAGTGTATTATTGATTTCTGAAGTCTGGGTGTTAATCTTCTGGCTTTCTAATTGCTGTTTTTGTATGGTTTCAAATTTTTCATATATTTTGTTAGTTTTCCCCTTAAATTCTTCTAATATTTTGTTTATTTTTCCCTTGATTCCATCTACAGCTTTCTTAATCATTCTCTCAGTGCATTGAAAGTATCTAAGCAGCATTCTTTTAAATTCCAGTACCATTCCTGGTATTATATTTTCTGACTCTGTATTTTGGCCACTTGTGTGAGGAACTTTGTCTTGTTTCTTCATGTAACCTGAAATTTGTCTGTTTTCTCTGAGACATTGTGGTATTGTCATATTTATGTTTAATTGATGAATGTATATTGGTATGTTCTGAAGTACTCACCACCTGTCTCCTGGTGGATGTGGTAGAGACTGGAAGTGTTAATAGTTTTCTGTTCACTGTTTGTGTAGTAGATTTCAGGGCAACTTCATGAGCCTCCAGAAGTAGGGGTGCTCAAGCAGAACAGAAGTTTCTCAGGAGGGTGTGCTACTGGTCACTTGGTTGTCAATGGTGGGGACTTGCCACACCCATTGCTACCAGGAGGGCAGGGGAAAAGGGAGAACCACACCATTTGCTGCCAACCTCCAGTGTCATCTTGTACCTGCACACCAGCCTGCAATCCACCCACTTTTGTTCTTTCTCACTGTTCCTGTTCAGTTTCTCCTTTCAGTCAGCACTCTGCCCACCTCTCTATCCTATTCTCTGAAGCTCATGGTTCCAGATAATCATCTATATCTGTTTCACTTGGTCTCCTATGTCTTTGTTTCAGGGTGGGCTCAGTACATCTGCCTACACCACCACCTTACCCTAGACATCCAAGACTGACAAATTTTAAACAACTCTAGTGATCACTCTGAAAGGAATCACATTAGAAGATCCAAGGTAAACC